GCGCAGCCTCCCACGTACACTGCCCCACGTGCGGCGCCCCCACAAGTACCGCCCCACTAGCAGACCCCCCCAGGGGCAACGCCCCCACGTGCACAGCCTCTATTAACTAGATTTCCCTTTTAATCAACTTCGTTTCTCGTTGCCTGGAGTTTCCAATTCTTTGGATCCCTCAGTGTCCTAAGAGAATAAAGCATATTCTTACCGCCCGTGAAAGTACAAATATGGTCATTTTTATCATTAAGACATTTTTATAAGAATGTTTATTGTGCTGTCATTTCTATCAAGTCAAAAATTAGAAATAACCTCAACATCAGATAAATGACAGACCACTCGGACAGTGCAGCATTCATTACTAAGTTGACTGAAGTCATTTTGAACGAATAACGATGTAGGAAAATACTCATTTAGTGTTAAAGGGAAAAGAAGCGGGAGATATGTATGTGATTCAGATGCACGGCAAACACGTAGAATTAACCATATGCGAGGCTCCAGTCCAGGCCTTTTACCTAAAGGACTCGTCTATGGAAAATTAGCAGTGTGTGGCAAGCGAATAGCTTAGCCACTCTACTATTTATTTCCTCCTCTGAGAAATGCTGCGGCACCTAAAGCTTAGTACGTGCTTAATAATAATAAAAAAAGCTTAGTACGTGCTTAATAATAAAAAAAGCTTAGTACGTGCTTAATAATACCAAAAAGCTTAGTACGTGCTTAATAATAAAAAAAGCTTAGTACGTGCTTAACAAAAAAAGTTTTATATCTTGCTCTAGATTGATCATAATCAGAATAAAATGATGAGTATTAGTTTTAATTTTTTGCTTACCTGGATTCTTTGTCATTAAGTTAGATGTTAGTTTTATTATTAAACAGTAATACAAGTTCTAGGTTCACTAGTTAACTCGGAAAACTGGCGAACTGTTGCCTAAATAACTAGGCATCCTCTTACTCAGTGGAGAGTGGATTTCGTTAGGGGAAGAGACAGGGGGCACTGAATTTTATTCAGTGGACTAGCATCATGATAGGTTTCCATCATTTCATGACTTCTCTACCATGAGTCACTTATTTTGACCTACTAACTTGGAAAAGACAGTTGTTTCAGCCATATTTACATAGTTATTAATGACAATAACTTAAAATAGTATGCTGTGGTGAACTGACAATTAAAATAATACACTATTTGATTTAATACAATATATTCTCACCATATCTTATTCTCTTTGAAATGATCTCATGATTTAGCAAATCATTTATTTCTTTCACTTAGAGATTTTGAATGTCCTCATCTATATCTAAGCCTCATCTCTGTTTTCGTTTTCCCTTTTGTCTTTCAGTGAACCTGATGGGTAATTTTTGCAAAAAGTGCAATGAAACTATACAACCAGCAGGTGGCAATAACGACTTGTAAATCAGAATTTAACATTTTAGGTAGTTTCAACTTTTATTTTTAAAAAGAAATATCACTGTTCTTGTAATAAATCAGTTCACTAAATATGAAATCTAGGAAAATTCCAAATATAACTCTGATAAAAATAATTACATTGCATATTTCATTTTTCAAAATAATTAAGACATTCATCATGGCCAATGTTTGGTTTTGCATTTAATATAGTAATGACTTTGCTTTAATTGATTCAGATAATTTTAATCAAATTTAAATGTTACTTTACACAAATACATAGATATAAATTTAAGTGGATCGCTCAGTTATGTCTCTGCCTAGCATGGTTATATGGAATGGGAAAGATAGAGGTAGTTCAAAGAACATCATTTTGAAAATTTAAAATTTCCCACCTAAAATTTGATCATTTAAAATACTAATTTCACTTTACTTGATACTTTCTGCACAAAAGATGGGTTTGTATTTGTGCTGTTTCACAGTTTCTTTTACGTTCAAGTACTTTTTTCTCTTTTATAGTGCAAGGAGTTGGAATTGCCATCCAAGTGTTTATCTCTAGTCTGTCATCATTAGTCCCAAAGATGTTAACAAAATTCTTAGAATCTCATAATTATGTCAGCTATAATTGAACCACAAGATTCTTTCAGAGCAATTTGATTTTCTAATTTTATTTATTTTAATTAAGAAGTTTTAAAAAGGTAAGCCAGCCCGGCCAGTGGGGCCCAGTGGTTGAAGGTCAACCAGGAGGTCATGGTTTGATTCTCAATCAGAGCACATGTCCTGGTTGCAAGCTCGATCCCCAGTGTGGGGCATGCAGGAGGCAGCCGATCAATGATTCTTTCTCATCATTGATGTTTCTATCTCTCTCTAAAATCAATAAAAATATATTTTAAAAAATAAAATAAGGTAAATCAAATGGGATTTATATTTAACATTTTTGCATCTTATATTTTTGCAAGTCTTCCAATAAATTCACAAAGATGAAAGAAACGTTTTTGCTTCATTATGTATCTCTATTTTTGTCTCCCCAAAATAGGATGGCCATAGGTATGTGCTTCTTGGGGGCTATTTATTTTCTAATTTAACATGTACTATATACATGTTAAAAGATTTTTTTCAAATTTTTCTTCAGTTACATCTGCTGAAAAAAATGTCTTTGCACATGTATCCTATATAATAAAAGCCTAATATGCTAAGTGTCCAGTTATCCGGTCATCCCTTCAACCAATCAAAGCGTAATGTGCTAATGATATGCTAAGGCCACTCAACCACTTGCTATGATGTGCACTGACCACCAGGGGACAGATGCTCTGACCAGTACGTTAGCTTGCTGCTGGGATCTGGCAGATCAGGACTGAGTGAGATGAATAGGACACACCCTGGAGCCCTCCTGCAGTCCCTCCTCAGCTGGCCAACCTCCCGCATCCCTCCCCAGCCCCTATCATGCACCCGTGAGGTCCCTCAGCCTGGCCTGTGCCCTCTCGCAATCCGGGACCCCTCAGGGGATGTTGGAGAGCTGGTTTCGGCCTGATCCCGCAGGCCAGGCCGAGGGACCCCACTAGTGCACGAATTCGTGCACCAGGCCTCTAGTATATTATAAAACAACTGTTTTAGACTAAAACCATTACATATCTTGATTGATTCACTTTTAAACAGTAACTTCACAGCCATTGAATTACTTTGTATGGCATGCTTACATCCTGGGTGGAGGCAGGCCTTCTTATAGGAGAAAATGGAAAATCGCCACAAAGCAGACAGCTTGAATGTACATACATCTGTGTGTGCTGCTTTGCATACCACTGGCAATATCATGCAGATGTCCAAGGGGGAAAAGGCATCTGTAATAAGTTGGAATTTCTGGGGGTTCCGGTCTACTTCCTGTGTCTATTAGGGGCCTATTCTCCTTTTACAACTGGAGCTCTCTCTGCCATCCATACTCTGATTGGTTCCCCAGGCCCATGCCAGGTGAAGTGAGACCTCCTTGACCTTGGACAGCTTTACAGAGGCATGTTTCATAGAAAGGCATGTTTCATGAGTTAATGGATGAAGAATTCCTTCACCCCCTACATGCGGAGATGGCCCGGTTGCATAGTATATGCTCACTGACTTCAGCAGAAGGGTCCTCAGTATACATCGTTAATTGACAACCAACATATACACAACCACATACACATGTGCATATAACACTCTGGTGACAGCTCCATGGACCGACTCCAACATATTGAGATTATTTTTACTTACCGCCAAAGTGACTAATACAAGAATTACCACATTCAATCCTAATAGGCAGAAGTCTTAGAATATATTAAAGAATAAATTATAAAATATATATGGGCAGATTAAGTGCAAAACAGCAAACACGGCAAAGATACATGAGGCATCTGGATGCTATGTTTTATATTACATGATATTTTAGATTGACTTAAGATTTAACTTTATGACATAGTGGTCTAGAAATATTACCGGATTGGGCCCAGTACGTTTTGGGCTGTTTATTTCTCTACCTCTGATGTCCTCAGCTATGAAATAAAGACTTTGGACTACACGGCCTCATTCGATTCTCGTTAGAATGTGGACATATATTTGGGTAGCTGGAAAGACGTACCTGTTGAGCCACACAGTGCCCTGTACCAAATTCTCTTCTTCCGAGGGCTTCCCTTCTCTCCAGCTCTGTGTTCTGATTCCAGCCTGAGGGTCTGACACTCTGCAGTTCACCCCACAGTGTGTCCCCCATCCTGTCCTCCAGCTGCAGCACCTCTCACCACCAACCCCGATGAGCACAGCTTCCCCATCTCCTCTCTCTAACCTGTTCAGCCCAGCCCCAACCTGGCTCCCAGGGCACGCCTGGTCTCTTCCTCTGGCTCCTCCCTGACTTTACTCGCTGTCCAGTCTCTAAGGGCAGTGGGCTCCATTGTTCCCCTTTTCTATTACGTCCACTTTCTCGTAGGCTACATGGCAACTAGGCCCTGTGCCTAAGTAAGTAGTAGGCGCTTACATGAAGACCAGCTGAC